CATAAAGTTTTTTTTAAATAAACATGAATAAAAAGCAAGTTATGAAATGCTGCAAATCAAATTAGCATGATAAATGTCTGAGAAGTGAAAATTGTATACTGATCTGTAAACATAACAAAAACTACTTTGCCCATTTAAACAATGAACAATTTAGAAAGCAACTAGCTATACAGTACTCCAATGAAGGCCTGGCAGGTTGAGCAAAATAACAAATGCTCACATTCTCCAGAATGTGCCTCAGTCATTGTTTAATACAAAAATACCACTATATTTTACTGCTGAATGGTAAATTTTTGTCAGGTGTGCCACATAGCACATTAACGATGCACAGAGGCTGAAGGCACAGTCAATTTGGAGTTGTCAGCAAAACCATCACCTTGATGCTAACTGCTAAAGTGGCTCTGAACTGGCCCAGCGTCAGAAGTGGATTCAATTTGAAGCCATGGGTGTGGCAGTACACCACAAAAACATGAGTATGAACAGGTATGTGTTCAAAGCCTTTTAAAACTTTGTGATAGAAAAAATCCATCAGCCCCATAGATGGTTAAAACGCTGGTCAACTGATCAAGCCATACACAGCCACCCCCGCCATGTACCCACAGTACTGAGCAGTGAACACTCACTTCGATCCTGTGTTTTTCCCAGGCACCAAAAAAGCACCATCCAAAAAAGCAAATACAATTACATATGCAAAGCTTTCGATACTTAACTGGAAAGTTGTCAATGTAATCTGAGCCTATTATTAAACAATTCCACACCAATCCTGTCTTTTCATTCATGCATGGAACCAAGTATAGCATTCAGTATCTAAACATAGAGCTTTCTAGCATTTATTCATATCACCCTACATAAATAAACAAAGAGGCAAATTTGACGTTTAAACCTTAGAAGAGAATGTCCCAAATTAAAGCTGGACGCCGAGGAAACATTTTCCACGTGAAATAATTGAAAGGCACGGTGCTGTTGTTCATATTGGGGCTCTCATCCCATATTTAACATCTTCCTTTAGTGGAGTTTCATCTGAATTGCAGCAAACTGTATACGAGTCATCTGTTGCTGCCAATATGGTGATCAAGTCTGGGCAACAGAAGGGCAATAAAACTGTATGAAGTACCTCTGGGCGAGGCAAAAAGGAGAAATAATTATCAGCAGGGTTGCCATTTCTGATCATTTCTGTGACCCCTGAAAGATTGATGGGACCTGGCCTGAAAATAGGTTGAATTTGGCTAGAATGCTTCCTTGGTTGACAGCCTATGGATGTGCCTGAGTTTATGCCAACAGCTACACTGGCAATGTACCAGCTAGTGCTTATGAAATCTGCACAATTCTGGCCCATAAAGAAATGTGGGGGATGGGGAGGGGAAAGAGAAACAATAATTAGTTATAAACAATTTTGCAATTGTTTTTTTGGCTTGATCAACAAATGCACAATGAGGAAATTACTTCAGATGGCCTTTCAACCACAGATGTTTGAGGATTTTAGTTGCTTCAAATATTATTGGAACATAAAGTCACAAGAGACCTAATAAATCCTTCCCGCAACCTTGGCTTCAGTGATGTTTTGAAATGCTAACATTCTCCTCAAGTAAGAACACAGGCAAAGAAGAAAAACACGTTAGAATTCAGATTTTTCTTTTAAAAAACTACAGCAAGGAATACTTCAGATTTCAAAACATACATGTGCTCCATTTCATATCCCACCCCATTGGGAGTGCAGAAACAAATCCAGGTTCACAACGATTTGTGAAGCACTTTATTTCACAAGCACTTTAGACCAAAACAATAACAAGTTACATTTGTAATAGCGCCTTTCATGTTGAGGGGACGTGCCAAAGCGCTGGACAGTCAGTGTTTCGGACCTGAGCTGGGGGTCGGGATTGGGGAGGGTGGAGGGCAGGAGGAATGGAGTTTGGGTGATCAAAGGCACAGTCGAAGAGGAGGGTCTTGAGATGGGTCTTGAAGGAGGCAAAGGGAGGGACTGTGGGAGGGAGTTCCAGAGGGTGGGGCAGAGTGGCTGAAGGCTCGCTTGCCAATGGTCACGGAGTCTGGTGCGGGAGAGGACACGAGCTGCAGAGTTCTGGATGATCTACAGCCTATGGAGGGAGGAGTTGGAGAGGCCGACAAGCAAAGAGTTTGCAAAGTCAAGCCTCAATGTTTTCCATTGGGTTTATAAAAGCTTTTGAGACATTTCAATACTCTCCCTCATAACGCTTCAATGTCTAGAATTATTCTATTGGAATAGCTAAGTAAGATTTGAAAAGTTAAAAAACTGTGCCTCCAAAGCTTGTAGCAGTTTGATTGCAGTCAGACTAGTAAATGAAAAGTACTTTTTTGGATGTAACAAATTACAACTTTCGATTATGAAAAGGTAACATCTATCTACAAATTTCTTTATTATAGAATGAAATTGTTGCAGTCATTTGAGGTGGTTAACCCTCATTTTACGGAAGATGCAACATCAAAACAATGAATTCTCTCTCACCCTTAGTTGGCAAGCGGCATACGAGTGAAAAATGAAATCCAATTCAGCTGTAACTCATTCAATGCAATGGTACATCACTGTGAAATACTGAACAGACTAAGGTGCTCTCATATTTTAACTTATTAACTTATTAAAAATACTTGGCACAGTAGCCAAATTGCTTAAATTACCTTTCTGATTTATACCCAGGTGTTTCCCACCCCCCCAAACCCCATCAGTCCAACCTTCAACCAACCAAAGTTAAGCAAGACATTGAGTTGCAACAGAAGTTTAATTTACAATTTATGAATCATAAACTACTAACATTTCAGTTATTACATGTTTAAAATCAAACCACTTACTATTCCTAATGCAATAGGGGAATGAAAAGCAGAATAGCTACCTCTTAGATATCCCAAACCAATTTTCTTCTCTGCGACCCCCACCCACATGAAAAAAATCAGGTTTAGGTTTGTCTTGCAGCATTGATGTTTCATTGCCATGCAGTCTTGAGATAAGTTGACAAGAAAAAGCTTTAATCCACTTTTCTGAAACAGGTTTTACGGTGGAGCCCATGAGAATGTTTTAAACACACAAAGAGCACTTATACTGACATCAGCATTCAGCACCATTCTATCTCCTCGGGCAGATAACCCTAATTATGCATAATAGTGATTCTGTATGACATTCACAAATAATTAAATTCAGGTTTACTGCATGCAGCACATTTTGGATCAAAACTGTTCTTAATTCAGATTTAATTACAGTAAATGACGAAATTGGGTAAGATTCAAAGCAGAGAAACTCTGAAAATCATGATCCAAGCACAAGGGTTGGTGCCAAATTGTTACTTCTTTTTAAGAATTTAGCTCCTAAGTGAAATGGAAGCAGTGAAATCCATTCTAATTTTTTTGTGCAACTCACAACTAAATGTAACTAAACCTGCACTTTTAGACAGAGAATATAAGTTACAACTATGCAATTCAACAAACAACTCCAGGTGAGATAACTGTTAAACCCTGTGAAGATAAGTGATGGGCACAAACAGATGATAAAGCCAACATTTCCTCTTGTTATCACTGCTCTTCCAATTTAAATCAGTGATTGATATGCAGACTTGCTGCCCCAGAGCTCAAAACAGCTTGGTAACTATTACACCAAAGCTTAATTACAAGCCAAACAGCTTTCCCATCTACCTGATTAAGACAGCAGGTATATGGAACATCTGTAAGGTTAGTGAATTGCAAATTTTATACAGATTGGCATTTTTTTTTAAAAAATGTAAGTTTCACTTGTCACATCCGACAAGTCCAACTGAGGGTGGCAGAAAATTGCAAAGATCTCACTTTTCAAGAGGGATGATGGGAATATGTAGGGCATCAAAAAAAAATTCTCCTTTAAGATTTTGGTAGCATCAATTTTGTATTGTGCAGTGCAGCATGAACGAATAACAAGTAAACATTGCTCTTTGCTCAATTCAATTTTGTGTCTATAACCTACATGTGCTATACCAAGCAAAACGTACATTTTTGTTGACACACACAGTGTCAAGATTTTCATCTAAGAACAGTTGACTAAACAAGAGATTCCAATCCTGCAAGGGTCTGAATGCTCAAAATATGCCATTCTCTTTTTAGTAAATTTATTTTTGCTATTGATGCAAATGCAGGTAATCTTCTTAGCAGCTTCAATTAGCGCTGAAAATCTTCACCGTCTAAAACCTCAGGCTAAAAGGATTGCAATGTGTATATCAGCAGCTGCAATAAGTAGGACAACTTTTGAATTAAGGACAAAGCCACCCTCCCTGTAACAAAACCTTGCTGAGAATTAACTGACAACCTGGCAGAAGTAATGTTTAGTGAAGAGATATTTTAACCCAAATCCTGCAATTATTGAAAATTTTTATTCAAAATATATTCACAGAAAGGAAATGGGACAGCACCATACAGTATGTCAAGCCATTTTGATCTAGGATATGGACAAAAATGCACCATTGAAGATTTTAGAAAACTCATTCAGTCAGGTCAGTCAAAGCGCACATAATAATAATCATTGCATTTGATATAGCACCTAATCATGTCATTGAGAGGTCTCAAAGGATGTCCCAGAATATACTGCAAATTGTAGTGACTATATTTTGTGGGCAAAACTCAGCAGCCAATTGCGCATAGCAGTCTCCCACAAACAGTTGTGGATTGAGTGACCAAATTATTATTATTTTCTTTTTTGAAGGGATTAAAAAGACAGAATGCCTGTACAATTCAACAGAGGACATTTACTTAAATGAATGAACGTATAATTTAAAGAAACACAATGAGCGCTTTGTAGCATTTATGCATTATTATTGTATGTATAACAAAAATACCATTATGAATATGGCATTGTAGCAATAACCAGGAATAACCTATTTCATGTTCTCTTCTAACTAGTAAAAAAATAAAGCTATGAGCTTATTTTATAAAGCTCTCAGCTTCACTGGTCATTAATAAAATGGGAAGTGAAGAACATTTCAGGGAAACGGCACAAAGTAGTTGCTGACCGTTAATTCATGGCAGAAACAAGCAGGCGGCGAATTATGCAATTTGTTCAGCGTTGGGCCAGTGCTAGAACTGTACTGAAGAAGCCACCATAAACAGGAAGTCAGTCCTGTAAGAGAGTTTCACGTCAGTAACACTTATTAACTAGCCTGGGAAAAGATACCTCAATTTTCAACAGAACAAAGCACTCTAAACAGCCAGACAAGCAGATTATGACTACTATATTTACACAATCTTAAATAGTTCAGAATTCAGGAGTAAATTAGCCTTTAAAATTTTCAACGGTTGCTACAGGATGTTTAATTACCCTTAACTGTCCTGAGTTGTAAATACCAGAACATTTATTAGCCCATATGCTTAGAAAGACTGATAATAATCCTTTCATTTGATATGGCACTTTTTCACGTCTTCGAGACATCTCAGAATATACTGTAAAGTGAACCAACTGTATATTTTGTGGGTGATAGGCAGCAGCCAATTGTACACAGCAGTGTTCTACAGTCATGGATTGAGTGACCAAATTATTATTGTATTTGTTTTCTTGAGGGATTATTATCAGGAGTGTGGAGTAAGAAAACTTGTCCAAGGTTTCTCTCTGCTGGGAATCGAAACCAGATCTCTCGCTTGCAAGGCGAGGGCTCTAACCACTGAACAACAGGACCCCACTTCCTTATTAAATGCATACCCTTTACATTTATGTTCACCAAAACACACATTTACTGCATTTTAAGTAAAAATCTGGTGAAGCATTCCAAGCTATTTTAGTAATATTCCACTTCATCAAATGCAAGAATTATTATTTAACTCCTCAATTGTGTTGGGGGAGAACAACAACATTACAGTTGTATAGCTCCTTTCACATTGGGAGGATTTGATGGTGACATTTACACCCTCAGGAAGTTTTATTTTGATCAGAGGCAGCGATTATTCATTGAGTGGATGATGCACAGAAAATGGGAAGTAAATCACATTAGCCTTTCTGAAATACATATTTATTATGTATTTCACTCCTCAATTGTGGATAAATTGGAGCACATGATACAAAAAGGTAAGAAAACCACAAAGGGAGGGGCAGGGTGCTAGTGGAGTGTGGCAATTGGAGGAAATGTGGATGTTACAGATGGAAGGGGTGTGTGGCTACATCCCAAACCGCATCCACTCCACCATCAGCCATTACACCCCAAATTTACACCCTGCCTCAATCCCTCCTGCCTTGCCCCCTCTCTGCCCATTTTAAAATATAACAATAATCCTTGCATTTGGCATTTTCTGTGGGCAAAATGTAACAGCCAATTGCGCACCGCGATGTCCTACAAACAGCCATGGAGATTTGGGAGATTGTTCACCAGGACAAACTTCCCTTCTCTTTTCAAATAATACCACAGGATCTTGAACATGTACCTGAACATGCAGGCAAGACATCAGTTTAACATCTCATCCAAAGGATGGCACCTCCGACAATACAACAAACCCCCAGCGCTGCACTGGGGGTTGTTGCATTGCCATCATAGACAATATGATTTCAAGATCACAGCAGAAGACTTTCCTCTTCATCTGTGCCCACATCACCTCCCCTTGCTCCCCAGCTGAGCATCAGCTATCCTGTCTTGCAGCGCAAAAGGCACTCCGCTATATTTCAGGCACTGACAGCATCAGCATCCAAGGCTGCACTCTCCACCTCTCAAAACCAGTCAGGAACCTCGGTGTTCTGTTCGACCCTGAGCTGTCCTTTCTCCCTCATATCCGCGCCACAACTGGCACTGCCCTCCATCACCTCCGGAACATCGCCAGACTATGGCACTACCTCACCCCTCACGCTGCTGAAACTCTTATCACCTTTATCACCTCAAGGCTGGACTACGGGAACTCTCTCCTCGCCGGCCTTCCCGGCACCTCCCTCCACACTGCAGGTCATTCAGAACTCTGCAGCTCGTGTACTGTCTCGCACCAGACACCGCGACCACATCACTCCCACCCTCGCCCTCGCTCGCCTCCACTGGCTCCCCATCCTCCAGAGGATCGAATTCAAGATCCTCATCCTCACCTACAAGGCCATTCATGGCCTCGCTCCCTCCTACCTCTCCGACCTACTATCCCCCTACCTACCTGCCCGTACCCTCCGCTCCTCCGGTCTGCTCCACATCCCCCGCCCCAACTACCCTACCATCGGTGGCCGGGCCTTCAGCCTCTCAGCCCCGAGGCTCCAGAACTCCATCCCTCAGTGCCTTCGCCGCTTCCTCCCTTTCCTCCTTCAAGGCCGGTCTCAAGACCTTTCTCTTTGACCTCCTCGCTCCCTCCCCCTGACCATTTCCCCCCCAATGCTCGGGTCCCGACCCAACTGTCCAGCGCCTTGGGACGTCCTCCCGACGTGAAAGGCGCTCTATAAATGGAATCTTGTTGTTGTTGTTGTTGAGTGTTATATAAATGCTTTTTTTAAAAAAAAATGCAATATAACCACAAGTTGTCATTGCAGAACTGTAGGCTGTGGAGAGTGTGGGTGACTTGGTAGGTCGAGTGTGTGGCAAGCAGGGTCGAGTGTGTGCGGCTAGCGACCAGTGGCAACCTGGGGAGGAGGTGTGGCGAGGGGAGGGGGCATTTAAATGGTTGGAAAAAAATGGTCGTTGTTTTTTTTCCAAAATAACAGAAATAAAATAAACCCTAGTGAACGGCGGGGGGTGGGGGGGGAGAGGAACCGAGATGGCAACAGCGGGAGAGGGATGAAGAGTAAAATATAGAGAGTAACGGTCGTGCTGGGCGGCCTTGGCGGCTCGCTGAAGCCTCGGGCTGAGGTTGAGGAGGGAGCCGGGCCTGAGGGAGAGGCGGCGGCACGAGAAGAAAAGCAGAAGTCTCTGAGAAATTCAGACAAGGGCGGCCGGTTCCCGACCTCCCCGCGGGCCGGAGCGAGTCCCCGCGGGCCTGGGGCAGCGGCCTGCGCGGATTCCCCGGGTCGTTCTCACCTGCTCTGGCCGCCCGCAGCCTCCGGCCTCTCCGCTTCTTCTTTGTTCTCTGACGCTGTAAAATGGCGGCGGCGGCGGCTCCGTCCCGCCCTCCGGCCTGAGCTCCGCGCCGTCACCCCAGCAACAGCCTCCCCATTGGTCAGCGCTAAACACCCAATGACGTCGCCGCGGTCCCATTGGCTGCTCGGGAAGTGGTGACATCATTGCCAGCAATCCACCATCACCCCCCAAACCCCCAACAACATCCCCCAAACCCCAACCCCCCAAACCCCGAATAACATCCCCAAACAACAACCCCCCAAACCCCAACCCCCAACCCCAAATAACATGCGCCCAAACCCTAACCCCCCAAACAACATCCCCCAAACCCCAACCCCCCAACCCCAAATAACATCCCCCAAACCCTAACCCGAATAACATCTCCCCAAACCCTAACCCCAAATAACATCCCCCCAAACCCCAACCCCCAAACCACATTCCCCAAACCCTAACCCCCCCAAACCCCAAATAACCCCCAAATCCTAACCCCCAACCCCAAATAACATTCCCCAAACCCTAACCCCCCAAACCCTAACCCCCCAAACCCTAACCCCAAATAACATCCCCCCCAAACCCTAACCCCAAATAACATCTCCCCAAACCCTAACCCCCCCAACCCCAAATAACATCCCCCCCAAACCCCAAATAACATCCCCCCCCAACCCCAAATAACATCTCCCCAAATCCTAACCCCAAATAACATCTTTCCAAATAACATCTCCCCAAACCCCAAATAACATCTCAAACCCTAACCCTCCCAAACCCCAAATAACATTCCCGAATCACCCCCAAATCCGAAATAACATTACCCTAAACTCAAATCCCATCACCACCAAATCCCAAATAACATTACCCTAAACTCAAACCCCATCACCCCGAAACCAAACCCTAAATAACATTACCCTAACCTCAAACCCCATCACCTCCCAACCCTAAATAACGTGAACCAAACCCTAACACTCCCAAACTCTAAATATTACACCAAAACCTAACCCTCTCAAACCCCATCACCTAAACCCAAACCCTAAATAACAATATCCCAAACCTAACCATCACCCAACCTCTAACCCTCCCAAACAACATCAACAACCAATTACATTTGTATAGCACCTTTCATATCAGGAGGACGTCTCAAGGTGCTGGACAGTCAGGGATTTGGACCCGAGCTGGGGGGTGGGATCAGGGGTGGTGGAGGGCAGAGGGGTTTGGGATCAGGGGTGGTGGAGGGCAGAGGGGGTAGGAGGGTGACTGAAGGTGTGGTCGAAGAGACGTGCCTTGAAAGAGGGAGCAAGTCAAAGAGATTGTGGGATGGAGTTCCAAAGTTGGGGGTAGAGAGGCTGATGGCCCGACCATTGATGTTGGGGTAGGCCGGCAGGGGATGTGGAGCACTTTGAGACGTTTCGATGATAAGGCACCGTATCAAATACAAGGTTTATGGTTTTTATTGGAATACACGCTGTTGTCTCTGAAAAGGAGAAGCAATAACATTTTGAAAGTGGAGGGTATAATGAAGTTAAAAATAAGCCGCAGTCTCCAGGATGGCTTATTTCTGAAATCAGCAATTTTTGGCCACCCAAAATCATATGACTTAACACGTGCAAAGTAAACCACAGCAGGCTTTTTAAATTGCGACATTTTGTACCAGTTTCGATATTGTCTTTGTTAACTTCCCTGTTTTTTAAACATTATTGACACACAGTAAAAGTCAAGAGCCACACGACCAAATCACAGTCCAGCTCTATGGCACACAACCTGCAACATCTTGCATTTATACAGTGTTTTTCATAAAGGTAAATGTGTTTCACAGAGACAGAGTGGGAGTCGGAGAAGGGTAGGAGATTGGGGTGTGTACAGAAGGGAGGTTGTTAAAGGCCCAGTCAAAGAGAAAGTCTCTTTAAAGGATTTTGAAAGCGGAGAGGGAGGGGGCCACAGCACACCACAGTCTCTTTGTGCAAAGTCGCCACAGAACAAACCCATTCCACTGGCTCAATCTTTTAAAAAAATAACTTAGGAACATTCCCCACACATGAGATCAGGAACGTTATGTAAAAACTGCTGATTGAAACTCGGTGGTTGGCAGAAAAAATAAACATATCCATGAAATAACTGCAGAACCAGTTCCCCTAGAGAGCGTGTGTATGGTGTTTAGCCCCTAGCTGGTACTCTTCCAATAAGTCACTTCCATCAAGTCATTTTTTCAGACAGCGAGTTGTTCGGATCTGGAATGCACTGCCTGAAAGGTGGCGGAAGCTGATTCGATAACAACCTTTAAGCGAGAAGTAGATAATTATTTGGGGAGGACAAGTTTGCAGGGCTATGAGGAGAGCGCGGGGGAGTGGGATCGAATTGGATAGCTCTTTTCAAAGAGCCAGCACAGACACAATGGGCCAAATGGCCTCCTTCTGTGCTGCATAATTCTATGATTTTATGAACTGCCCTGTTATGTGAAAATATTGGAACTTGGCATTGAAAGAAAGAATTTGAAAGATCTAAAGTTGCCAAGTTTTTAATTGCTGCCGTACTACATTTGAAAACAAAATAGGACAAGGCAGCCACACCTGTGCAAATTGATAGATAATGTCCTTGCGTAATTCATAGTGTCCGTTCATACCTATTTCCAGATTTCGAATCTTGAAAATAGACATAAGGGTTAGCGATGTTTCTTTGCTTTACTAATCCACTGATTGTCAGTTTTGCAACTTGTTCGCACCAACCTGCGCCTATGACGCTCCGGAACTGGGTAAGCTGAGAGCCTCCTTCCAGACATAGGGAAATTCTCTTGTGTGGGTGGCATACATATTTAGTACTGTGTGCGTTTGTCAGACACCCGGTTGACCAAAGAATAGCGACCTGTTGTAAATGAGGATGCATGGAAGGCACGGGAGAAATAATCCCTTAAAAAAAAAATTTGATCACTCGTTCCCCTGCTCTTTGTGGGACAACGCTGTGCGCAATTGGCTGCTGCATTTTGCACACAAAATATACAGTCAATTCACTTTACAGCATATTCTGTGAACCGCTTTGAGACGTCTCGAAGACGTGAAAAGGCGATATATCAAATGCAAGGATTATTATTATTGTTAGAAACATCAGGAAGTACAAATAGAGACAGCTAATCCGCACCAGTTACAGTAGCTAGATGAATCTACGAATGTAATCTTTCTTTGTGAATTGGACATGAATGGAATATCGACTCGGATGGCAATGGACTGATGTTTTGCCAGTGTTACACATTGTTCCCTTTGGTGATACCTGATGGATTTGATGTCTGACACACATGGACTCAAGTTTACCTCTAAGCCCCAAATGCGAGAGAACTGAGCCAAAAAGGACACCAATTGTCCAACAAGGTGATGCAATTGTTTCCTTCCTCCCAGTCTTTAAAGTCCACCCTGAACAGCCAATAAAACAGGCCTCTACATAAATATGTATATATAAATCTTCTTGAACGACAACGAGAGGTGTCCAGGCAACAGGAAAAATAGAATTAACTGTATAAACAGCATCTAATGCTACCAATCATCCAGTGGGATTTATAACCAAATGCACTCCATGTTTTATTCCAACAGAAATTTTTTCGGGGGGTCAACACATGCGGAATCCCATTGCCACCTGGGACTTGGAACTCATATAGTCTGAGCTGACACTCGAATACAGTGCTGGGGTGTGTTGCATTGTTGGAAGATGCCATCCTACAGATGATACATCTGCCTATTCAGGTGGACTTCAAAGATCCCATGGCACTATTTGAAAAGAGAAGAGAGTTTCTCCCAGAGTCCTGGCCAACATTCCCCAAATGAAATTGATCACTCACTTCTTAGCTGATCATGAGACATTCTTGTGCGCCAATTGGTGGGTCCGTTTGCCTGCAAAGTACACAGTCACTTTACTTTACAATGTTTCCTGTTGAGCATGAGACTAAACCAAATGTAAGTATTATTATCATGAGTCTCCGAACTAAACTGCTTTGGTTTCGAGAAGGTTAAGAGGAACCGAGTGAGAAAAATCCCTATTCCTCCAAATGCTGTGGGTGAACAGGTCTAGGGTCTGTCATTGACATTGCTCTGGAGGACTGCAGTCCTGCCTGACTCAGGAACTAGAGATGACAGGTATGTTACCTCGAAGTCAAACCAGGTCCAAAGAGACCAGTTTAACTCCCCACAAGGAGAACAGTTTCACGTCGTCAATGGGAAACAGAATCTAAAAGCTGCTCTGTTGCTATGTGATACGTTATAATAATAGCCTTGTGTAACGTGCGATGGAGCAGGAATTCCTTAGATTCCATTGGATGATGAAATTGTGTCTCGGCCTTAAATTTCCTATGGCAGGACCCAGCTCCTGACAGAGTAAATGGAACCCATTACTGAACGCCACCTGACACACTGCCCCCTTCCTCATAGGTCACGGGCACAAATACCTCACTCACCCCACACAGTGGAATTCCTCACACTGTCAAGTTAGCTGCAGTCGAACGGTTGCGTACAGTGTAAACTATCCGATCTTGGCTCCACCAAGGCTGCAACAAACCAGACCCATCTCCCCCTTTTATGCAGACACCATTTCAAGAACTCGTTAAGCTATGTTAAGTGCATCATCTCAAACCGTTCAGTTCCAATAGTAATCTTTCCCTCTAGCTCCCCGCCCCCCAACACACACACATAAACACACACACATACACATAGAACAAGACGCACACAAAAACACACACATAGACATAAATATAGAACATCACATCCACACACGCACACAGACAACAACTTGCATTTATATAGGATAGCATCTGAGTCCTGTAAGATTTGCTAGAACAAGTTTAGTTTTAGTGGTTTACAACAACAACAAGATTACATTTGTATAGTGCCTTTCACGTCGGGAGGACTTCCCAAGCAACAGAAATATAGTGACACAATAACAAAGAACTAATGACAATGTCAAAAGGCCTATTTTAAGCCCTTGAATAACACAGTGACCTACTTCTTCCCGTGAAATTAGTT